ATATGCATCCGAAGAAGTGGGCTGTAGTCCATGAAAGCTTATGCTCTAATAAATTTGTTAGTCTCTAAGGTGCCACAAGTACTCCTGTTCTTTTTTTAGAATAGGCAGTTCATCCAGTGGGGTGTCCTAATTAACCAGATTCTACTATACAGTATTTGCTTTCCTTTCTCCTTCTTAGAGAACTCAATAAATAATAAAAATATTCTCTTATTGGATATACTGTAACAAACCTTATCTACCTACGACTTCATAGTTGTCACTAAACTGCATACTGTAATGCACCTGCAGGCTCATTCATGGTGTTGGGCTCTTTTAATCCCCAGTACAACATCCAGCCAACAGAGGACTCCATAATCCCTCCAGCACAGGAAAAGGTACACTGTACACTCTTCATAAATCCAATCATAAATCACTATTTATAAAAATGTCAGAATAACCTTGTGACACGGACAGGTCAGATGCCAGCCCATGCCAGAGTCTCAGGACAATTCACTTGTATGTGAATATCAAAGAAGTGTTAAGTGTTAGTATGCTTTCAAATTCATTCACTCTTATGCTAATAGAGATCAAATTAGATGTTGATTGTATTGTTTTCATCTGTCTATATCCTGTAGTTTGCTATTATATTACATCTACATTATGTACACCCTGTAATTAAATAGTCCTAGGCCAAAGGTGTGTTAATGAAGAATGTATTCAGGTGTTAGAACTTAATGCAAACTAATGGAATGAAGATCTGGAGAGGGAAAGAAGAACCTAAATACTGCCCCCAAACAAGCTTGGGTGCGAAGTTACCTCTTTTTGGATGTGTGGTGTCTTATGAGATATGTAAGGAAGAGTTGGGGAAATCTCTGTGTGTTGGATAATATATATAGGAGCAGGGTATGTATGGAGGTAGGGTCATGTACGTATAGAAGGGTGCATTTCTGAGTGGGTGAGGGAGGACATGTCTCTCTGTGTGTATGTAGTGGGCTGTCTCTGTGTGGAGCGGCCTGGGTGGATGGGAAGATCCCCATCGGTCTCTGAGTGTATTAGGTTGGGGTGTCTCTTCCTGGGGCAGGGTGTCTACGGGGATGGAGATGTATCTGTACGGGGATAAGGGGACTGGGCTGTCTGTGTATGTAGGAGGGTGTATGTGTGGGGATGATAGGGCAGGGCTGTCTCTCTGAGAAGTGATAAGGTGGGTGAGGTAATATCTTTTATTGGACCAACTTCTATTGGTGAGATTTTTGAGCCACACAGAGCTCTTCTTCCTCAAAAGCATGTCTCTCTCACCAACAGAGGTTGGACCAATAAAAGATATTACCTCACCCACCTTGTCTCGCTAATACTTTGGGACTGACATAGCTATAGCTACACTGCATAAAATCTCTGAGGAGACTGTGAAGATGAAAGGGACATGCTGTCTTTGTACGTGTATGGGTGTGTGTGGAGATGAAGAGGCAGGGCTGGATCTAAGGACGGGTGTCTGTGTGGGGCGTAGGGTTGTCTCTCAAGAGGGGTGTAGGGGCAAGGCTGGCTCTGAGGAGGGGTGTGTGTGAAGGGGTGTAGGGGCAAGGCTGGCTCTGAGGAGGGGTGTGTGTGAAGGGGTGTAGGGGCAAGGCTGGCTCTGAGGAGGGGTGTGTGTGAAGGGGTGTAGGGGCAAGGCTGGCTCTGAGGAGGGGTGTGTGTGAAGGGGTGTAGGGGCAAGGCTGGCTCTGAGGAGGGATGTGTGTGAAGGGGTGTAGGGGCAAGGCTGGCTCTGAGGAGGGGTGTGTGTGAAGGGGTGTAGGGGCAAGGCTGGCTCTGAGGAGGGGTGTGTGTGGAGGAGTGGAGCGGAGGGGCAGGGCTGTCCCTCAGGAGGGGTGTAGGGACAGGGCTGTCTCAGCGAGGGGAAGGGAGATATCGGACTGGACCGAGAGCAGTGGGTGGCTCTCTGTGCGAGCTCCAAAGCTGGGGACATTTCCAATGGCTCTCTCGCCGTCCTTCTCCACCCTCCTGTTCCCTTCCCCCGCCAGTCTCCCGTGATCCTATGCGCGCTACTGCCCAGTGGCTGCACAAGATGGCGGCGGACAGCGAGGTGAGTCCCCCGGCCCCTATCCGGCTCCCCCGGCGGTTTCTCCTAGCCCGCCCGCACTCACCGCCTCTCCCGCTCTCTCCCCGCAGCCCGAGTCCGAGGTGTTTGAGATCACGGATTTCACCACCGCCTCCGAGTGGGAAAGGTACGAGACCGGATCCCCGGGCTCCGCATCTCTCACCCCTCCCCTGCGCCCAGCCCGCCGCCCTTCCCTGCGGTAGCGCCCCCACCCCCCCGGCTTTGCAAGTTTAGGGGAAGGGGCCCTCAGAGAGCGACCCAGTGTCATCCCGGATGGGATGATTGCACAGCGCGCATCCTCCTCGGCAAGCTCTTGCCTGCGCTCAGGAACCCCTGGGAAAGGCACTATGGCCTCCCGAGTCCCGCTCCTTCCCCTGAGGCCCCAGCGTCGTGCCTCCTGTGGTGTGGCCCCACACGCCTTAGCGATTTGGGGACAAGTTTCCCTCTCCTGTTGTTGACCCCGGAGTGTATCTACTTGTGGGTGTGCTGGCGTAGGACGCTGGCAGCATTTTCACCGTGCTGTTGCGTAGGCCTGTTCTGATTCCGTCTAAATGATCCCGTAGTAAAATAACCAGTGACTTCCTGGAGCCTTGTCCCTCCGTGCTTCTCTCACTGCTGTCACCACTGAAGGAGAGCCAACAGTAGGGTGTCTTTCAGAAAAGCTAACGTAGAGACAGTTCTTCAGAGCAGGAACTGCATTTTGGTGATATTACTCCACTCCGAACACAAACAACAAGGAGTCTGGTGGCACCTTAAAGACTAACAGATTTATTTGGGCATAAGCTTTCGTGGGTAAAAACCGCATAGCATCCGCCTTGGCCGTACAGCAGGCGCGTGGCTGGGCGGGAGGGGGCTGCCGGGGCTTGCGCGCGTGGCTGGGC